CCGACTTCAGCCTAGGGGGACATGGATATAGGCCACGAGATGCAAATGGAAGCTTTCACTTTAAAAGGTCACCTGCGCTTCGAGCACGGATCGACGATTCAATCAGCCAGATAACACCGTTTATGTTACTGCACTGACGAGGCCACCTCGCATGGTCGTGAAACGTTTGCAACCAACATGACAACACAGCCCAACCATAGTTGCGTGATATAATGGTGCTGATCGGTTCACACCCTATTCCTGTACCAAATACGCGACGCCGAACATATTAATTGCTCACGCGGCATTCTCAACAGACGCGAGAAAATCTGAGAATTCAGCGGCGGCCGAACGGAACTAGCCTCTTTATGTCGGCTGATCTAATGGGCCAGGATTCACAACCATACCGGGGATGAAATGATGGATGCATTGTAAACTCTGCCCTTCGGAGGGTGAGTGAGTTCACGTCATGCACAGGTGGCTGAGATTTCGTTATAAGGTTTGTGAATTTATCCACAATTATACGGGGGCTAATATAAATGCCTAGATAGTTAAATCTCTGAACCAGTTTTAGTTGATCACCACCAACGGTTAGCTTATGTGTGGGTCCCTGCCAATCTTTGCTTTTCAACGGTGCGAAGCGTAACCCGAAATGACTGATAGCCAGCGCTAATTTATCCACTGCAACTTGGCACCTTAGGGAGTTATCATAGATTAGGAAAATGTCATCAACGTACTCCAAGCCACCTGGGCGCAGCTGCACATCATGTAGGTCGTGCTCGGGGAACGTAGGTTCCATAACTTCGTCAACAGCGAAGAAAAGGAGGAAAGGTGATAGGGTGCAACCTTGTTTCACACCAGTAGAGATATTGAAGAGCGGGGAGGGTTTACCGTAAACCCTCACTCTGCCCAAGATAAGCGCGTGAAGCGCTCGGCTAATACTTATATATTTCTCAGGCACATCTTTCCTCAGCAGGCAGTCCTAAAATGCATTTTGACCAAGCGAACAGAACGCACATTTGGTGTTTATGAACAAGACTGCGCTGGTTCGACAGTGAAGACGGCGGTGCTACAACAATTGATGTGAGCTGAAGATATGGTCATTACAGCCTCGATTTCGACGAGATCCATCCTGCTCTTCGTGGATCCGGCTTTCACAACTGCCAGTCAGTCTTTGGAGGATGATAGAGGTAAGCAACAGAGGTAATTGAAGTCAAACTGCTTTCGCTATGACTGCTACATTCTGAACCGTAGCCTCCCTTGAAAATTGTGACTATGAGGGACCGACTATAGTCTGTTTGGGCAGATTGCTGCTCCCGTAAATTCACGAGTTAGTTATGTAAATCGTCCAAAATAGTAGGCTCCTGGAATTTGTAGAGGGCTGGACAAAGTCCATCTGCTCTGCTTCTTGTTTAAATTCAGCCGTCTGATCTCACATTCGATGTGTGCGCGTGTGGACGGACCCAGGGAGATTCCCCGAGCAGTAGACGATCAATGGCCGATGGAGAAGCTGACAACTCTGCCTGACTGAGCATCTTCGCAAAGTGTCCGGCTCAACGTTGCAGACGATTTGGCAAGCTCTGAATTGGCTGTCCACTCTGGTCAAACATGCTCTCACTAACACCATCATCATTATGTGTATACAGCTTAGATAGAGATGGAAAACACCTCTGGTGTGCTGACACCTGGTCTCCTGCTGCTCGTTTCTCATATCAGACGGAACAACTTCCGACGTTAAGGGCAATGACTGTCTCCATCTCTGAGGCATGATAAGACCACAAGGCATTGCGATCTCTCTTCAGGCCAACACGCACTTACACTCTGAGACATTTGCATACCCACTGTTTTCGCTTCCTGTCGGAACACGTCGAGAAGCACCCAGAAGTTCCAGAGACTGCGTAGAGACCCGATGTCCGGGTTGGCGATTTGATTGGTCACATGAAAATATGCCTGCTGCTAATAACGTCTGACGGATATGTGACCAGTGGTCTTCAACTCTGCTTGCTGAGCGCTAACTCAGGTCGGATGTCAGCCTCCTTTGGTACGCACGCGGAACATCTGACTTCGCCAGTGGGCCAGTAGCTAGATGTACACAGCGAGCGTTGCGGATGTGCACTAAAACGCTCCAGCAGGTCGACATAAACAAGTGCGTGATCAGAGTTCACACTCGTAGTCTAAATGGAGCGACAGTTTTGGACGCATCCTCCCCAGCGGGAACTGATCGCGATGTGCTCGATTTGCTTCCATGGCTCATCCGAGGTTGCTGGGCGCCATATCACCCTCCTGCGGGTGCTGTGTCGGAAGTTAGTGCTCGCAAGAAATAAGCGAGCACCTTCATACCGATGAATTAACCATTCACCGTTATCGTTAAGGAAGCCTACACCATGTTCGCCACCCAGATGAAGGTCATCAGTGGACAGTTTTCTAACTTTGGTGTTCAAATCACGTGCAAGGAGCACAGTATCCATACCTTTTCTCTAACAGAGAAGCGCTTTCAATTAGTGATAGCATTCATCTTTCCCCGAGTCAGCGCTACAATTTGTGGGCGCCTAGGCCGCAGTGACAAACAAGCACTTGGACGGTTTGAACGAGCCAGCCAATCTGACAGCGCACATCCGGCTGTTCATTAGGATACAGTTTATCGGGGCAGGTTCAGCCCGGGGGTTAAGAGCAATTCCCACACCGGCTTTATTGGCAATTGAAGCCACGTCTTCTCCGGAAAAGCGCAACGAGAAAATGCCTCCAGTGTCGCACGTTGGGGTTGGCAAGGTAATTACGTTACTCGAGGCTTTCAGGCGAGTTTGTGATAAGCAACATTTATCAATTGATGTGGTCTCCAGTGTTTGGAGAAGTGCTGACTGTTGGCCAATCTGCCACAAAGTGCCCACATTCAAGCATGTCAGTCTTAGCGAGGATCGAAGGTTTCAAATAGAAACAGATAAACTGACGTTCTGTCTGGCTGAGCATGGACTGGTCGAGTGGATCGAAACGACATTCTGAGACTGCGTGAGTCAACTAGAAAAAAAGAATTCTGAACCAAGATGGAGGACGGCGAAGAATTGGGGTTCGAAAATATGGGGACAAAAGTGAAATTGGAACGGGACGATGCGGATAATAAAGCACAAGAAGGGGATAAGAATACAGGGAGACATGAGCAGTAACGTCCATTCCCCTATTTACCCTGCTCGATGCAGCATATAGAGCGTCTTCCACTATCTTCTGCAACAGCCAGGGCATCAAGCAAGTGTTTGTGGAATGGTTTATTTTCCTGCATGTCATGTTGCACAAGTCTAAACAGAAGAATGATCACGGTCCTCAAGCAAATCCTTTGATACAAAAAGCTGACCGCAAGGCGGCGGGGTTTTGCCCTACGCCATATTGAGTCCGTTTTGTGAAGTACGGAGCCACTCTCACCTCAACCCCGAAATTAGATGACCTGGAGACGGAGTTTGTCAGGCCTCTTACCAATGACCAATCTTGTATGATTGGTTCTGAGGGTGCACAAAGGAGCACCACCCGGCATAGCCCGATGGATCGCTGAGGTAGGCAAACCATCGCCCGAGGTTAAGGTCCAATCCCGTCTCGTTGGTCTCAGGCGACAGATAGTGTATTTGTAGGTCTTCTAACGGTCTCGTAAGATCTGCCATTCACAGGCCTGGTCCGAGGCGGTAACGGATTTGCTTGCGACGTTTAAAAATCAATATGGCTGCCAGTACTAAATCTAAGTATTAGTTGAGTCCAGTATAATTTTCGCAGACTGTAGTTTACCCAACATAAATTATGTGGGTAAAGTATCAACTTGTGCATAAAATTCCATTATATCCACAGATTATTTTGAGCTTGCTTAGCTCAAAAAACAAGCATCTGTAGGGAACCCATTTTAACCGTAGCGATTTGAATAAGCTAAGATCCAGGCCATATGGATAATTTTATTTGCTATCGAGAAAATCCTCCAACTACCAGTGGCATGACAGTGAAATCACTAGCGTCATGAGTAGTGTTTTTCAATAAATTGATCAGATTACTTGCAGCCTTTTGGTGCGTGGTGTAGCAAGCATTGGATTGAGTTTACGAACTAACAAGCAGGACTTGTGCATGTTCTTTTGACCCAGAGGTGTTGAGTGGTGCGATTTGAGAGTCGGATTCATTTCGAAGATAAAAATTTACTTCCATAACCGAGTGGTAACATTTCTCGCGTTACCTTGTCCTAGTACCTACATGGATAAATAAAATTTTACTATACCAGCCGAGAGTAATAACTGAGTACAAGCAGAATACATAGTGCAAGCAACGCGGAAGGAAATGCCGAAGATTGTGTGGGAAACCTGTGCAATAAATCAGAGTGGTTCAATACAGTTGGTGAAAACAGATTAACAGCCCTGATATAACTATGCCGTCCTGAGTCACGACCATACACTCATTCGTTTTACATGTTCCCTGGAGATCAGAAACTTCTAAGGTTTTGTGCAGCCATGAGTCAGTGACCTACAGAACTGCTCGTCGGATTAACTCGATCGAACTTCCGAGCTTCAACGAGATTGGTGGGATGTGCCCTCAAGTGACCAAAACTCCCCACAGAGCAATTGGTCAAGCAGAAACGCATCACATTGCTCCCTGTTTAGACCATTTCAATGTGTCTGATAGACTACTTTCCTATCTATCGTTCAGCAAGTAACACGAGTGCGACTTATACAGGTACACAGTGGTTGAAGAACCAAGTATTGTCACAGCTATAAAATGATATATTAAAAAGTCGTCAAATGCCTATTGTTGCTTGTGCATACGCTCAAGGGACAGGCGATATAGGACAGCCTGTGGTAAAATAGCGGTGGAACGGCTCGATAACGTTCGACATTCGGAATCCTTGGTGCACTGGTTCAGATACCTGCTTTGCTACCTCTTCTCCAACGTTGCGCATCTTCCCCTTTACCGATGTGAAGGTAAATGTTCAAGGCTGATTTAGAGATCACAAAAGCTAAAGGACAAATAGCTAAAAAAAACCGGGAATCACAGAAACGCACTTCATCATCCGTCATATTTGCTATACGCTCCATGCATTCCAGCGTCTCACCAATGCGAATAATATTGGTCGTGCTCGTCTCCAAATCATGGCACCACACTTCGCCGATATCGCGCATTGAAAATGGTATCCCGTACTCTTCGGAGAAACACCGACAAGTTTGGTACGTGAGTCTCTGTCTGTGTGTTGCCACACATGCTTGTCGAGTGTAAGCGAACTTGGCTTTTTTTTGCTCAACTGGAAAAATCCAAGCATGAGCCACATAAGTAAGTAGTCAACAGTATACGTAAAAGTGCGATGCAGGATGTACGCATGCTTAAGGTATGCATAAATGTTTTGGGAAAAGTGTAACTAACCTTCATTTGGACGAGCGTTACTTTGTGACAGCTGATCTAGGCGGAGTAACTCGATCTGCGCAGCAAGTTGACCATCAATGCACTCGCGCCCCTTCAGACTGACTGCTTCGTGATGTGTTTGTTCCAACCCAATTCGTACTGAATAGCCGAAGCGTAGCGATAGGCCATTTGGTAGCGACTGAAACGACCAAGCACGTAAGGTATTGTAGACGGAGATTAAATGTATCAAATGTACGTCTAACAAAAATATCATCTGCCTCGCTGTAGGGCTTCCTGTAGGGGTTACAGGCAGGTGGAAAGGAACCGAAGAAAAACAAACATCCGGTAATCACGAGATACTTGACTGTCATTGCCACAGCAGCGGTAGAGATGATAAAAGGAAATATGGGTCAGAGGTGTGTTTGATAACATGCTCACACAAACTAGGGTTGGTTTGTCGGCGGGTCTCGATGAACTGTGGGATGATAGGACAAGCAGCTGACGGAGAAACTGCGTTTCGAAATTTAATTTCCTATGTAACTCCTGGCCACCTAGCTATCGTCCTTATTGCACCACCTGATAACTCAGAGACTTGGGAGGAGGAAGCCCAACGGGCTGTTCCTGAAAGTGGTTCACCCAATAAACTGGACTGCTTACCGCATTTTGAACGAGATGGTTAGTGATATTCATAACGTGCTTATTGGCGGATAATTTAATAGGATCGGTACATGGTTGGAAGCATCAGATTCCGTATTTGCCGGTCACTACGGCCTTCAGGAAGACAGCCACAGGACGCCTGAGCCTACAGAGGCACCATGGGTAGATTGCCCTGCATCACACCCAGCTCCATGCACACAACCCATATGCAGTGTAAGCCCGAAGGAATAAGACCGGGAGGCATGTGGATGGGAGCCACGCTTCATCAAACTAGCAGGCCCACACTCCCTCAACATGCACAGCAGCAGTATTCCTGTCCATATATGTGGAGAACCATGCAGCCAACAGCACTGTGCGCCTCCTCCCCATAAATAAGGCTAGCAATCTCTTGGAGCCGGTATTCCAAGTGGAGGCTGTTAGCCAAGTAGGCACAACAAACGCAGTCACACCGGGGAGTTCAATCATCAGCCAACACCTGATAGGTAAGAAAGTAAATACACACCCGAACCTTACCATCATCATGATCATCATCAACAACAGTACATAAGTCATTTGAACTGATGCTTCGCCTCCGTACGACCATGGTGGTTTACGGAAAGTAGAATAGTAAGAGGGAGAGAAGGGGAACTAAGCGTAAAGCCGTAATACCCTATACAAATTTTCACGGTCAATGTGACTACACCTTGTGTCAATAGCTTACCTTCACAAACAGCTGGCTATCGCGGTTAGACAAGGCAGCATCGGCGAGAGGGGTTTCTTGCCTCTTTCAGTGCCGCGCGTCATTATCAAGCATTAACCCGCATATAACTGCACCAAACACACGCTAAGCAGGTAGTCCGACTAAGAGACGACAGCAAACGCCACGAGGTCGACTGCGAGCCATTTCCTTTAGTGTCTCGTATTAAGCATAAGGCCATTCACGTGAATTTCAGCCTGGAAGGTGGGAAGGACCAACAGCAACCCCAATGTTTGTCAGTGAGATTATCCGCTACCAAACTGACTTTTGCTGACCTAAGACCTTGTGCCATGCTACATCTGCCAAACAAAACAACGTTCTTTTCGGTAAAGGTTGACCGGGCATGCGTATCATGTGCCAAGGTAACACAACTTATTTGCTGCTATATATTGTCTTATGGAACTAGATTGATTAACACTGCCTAGCACTCGCCTACGTACATCATCATTGCGAACACGCTGCTGCCGTCCTACACCAACAATGCTCCGCAGACAATGGTAATCAAATAGTTGAAAGCGCCTCAAATCTTAAGTGCCAAGTCCCATTGCCATACACTAGGATGGGTCTCACTACGGCCATGAAAACACGACCTTCCAGATGGTGGTAAATTCAACAATAGAGTTTTAGCCTTAGCATCATTTTAAGTAAATATAGTGCTTATACACTTATCGTTGCTGATGCGGCCACCAGAGTAAGTGAATTGACCAGTCACCGCGATTTCCTCGTTATGAAGGGTCAAAATGTCGTGAAGTGACCAGTGATTCCGCAACACCTTCCGTTTGCAAATGCGAAGCGCATACCAAATGATAGAACTAATCTATGAACAATGTAACAGTGGTGTATTAGAGGTAAAAAAAAGCAATGAGTAACACGTCCAGTGGGATGGAAATTATTGTGAAAATTAAATTGCATGATGAAGCGAAAAATGTTTTGGTGGACTCAACAAACACTTATGTAGAATGGCGGATGTTTACGTATTAAAAGTATAAATCCATGAACCTATTGGTTAGGCTTTTGGCAAGACACCGTTTGATTGCGATTTGTAGCCCCTGGATAACAATTCATAGAATGAAATGCGAATGGGACAAGGCATTGTAAACTCATTTTTTTAATATCACCGGATTGGGAGCAGTGACGACATAATTATGGAGGTCGTTCCAGGGATGACATGGTGAGAAAAGAAATTTTTACGGCGTTCAAGCCGGCTATACTGAATTGTCACTTTCAGAGGATGACCTCTTAGTTTAGTGTTGCGGTTCAATTCCAGCAGCGGACGGCAAATGTGGTTTTGGTTCTTCAGAAACTGGTAAAGCATTATGAGATCCATCCACAAAAGCCGATATCGACTGATATACGTTTTTAGAGATTCCAGTCTAAGCTGATATGGCAGATGAAATAGACCCCTGAGGTTCTTGGTTGCTCTTCCTTGAGGAGTCTCTAGAGCAACGAGATCCTGTTTCTGTCAAGGGGAGCCACGCCTGAATAGCATATTCCACGTGCGGTCGCACGTAAGCGTTAAGCATTTGGGGAAAGATTGAGGGTTCAAACCGACCGAAGTCTCTGCGAAGAAGCTCGATGTATTGATTACCGGTCCTCATCGCTTCTCTGCTTGTTTTGAACACCTGAGATCTTCTTGTGCCAGCACACCCAGGGCACGATCCTGGGACGCCTTCTGTAAGATGGAGTCTCCAATCTGGTAAGCACTCATTGGCTGGTGACGCAGATGTATCACCTTCCACTTAATTATGTTCAATTGCAATTGCAATATGTTCGGGGCCCTTGGTGTCATGTTGCTTCCGATGCTACTAGCTGTTCTTCTCGGGATGGGAGCAACACTTACGGGGGAACATTGGATTGCACAGTCCGCTATGCTTACTTCAACCGTAGTGACTTTGGTGGTTACCATTTCCTCAAACGTGACTAGCAGCTGGTCGTACGTCTTAGATAATTGGAGCACGCTTTTTAGCAGTGAGATAGATGTGCATTCCACGCAGAATCATAGAGAATCTGATTCGTTTGATTACTTGGCCTGGCTAGGTTAGCACGAAGACATCCCGTATGGAAAAACTTGAATCAGTTACTTCACAGAATGCCCACTTAACAAGTTTGGAACATTATCCACATAGGTCTTTAGACTGTGGCCTACTGGACATCGCGCTTGGTGAGGAAATGTTACTAACAATTTGAAGGACTCACCCAGTGTGGTAACATTTTGTTCTGGTACTGACGTTGTCGGCTAGGTGACAGTGTTCAAGTTGCAGTTGTGTGCTCGCAGACTGTTTTCTCTGACGTGCAAGTCGAACGTGTCAGATTGAATGTGGAGCAGATTACCCACGGGTTTAATTGAGAATTTTGTGGTTAAGCCTATGGATCGTTCCAAGCGAATTTGTCTTGAGACCTGTAGATGCTCCAAGTAATGTTGGAGTTGAACGTGTGACAGTTCGTCCGAAAGTCGTTGAAATGGTCTATCAAGTGAGACCGAACAATGTCTTCGATGGTTGGAGTTAGGCAACTTTTGACGATTGGATATCGGTGAAACACTGCCCAGAATTCAGGGTACATGTAGTATGCGCTGGAGTGTATTTGAGAAAATAGTATCACAAGGTCGAGCTTTAAAAATATGACGACAAATTTTCGCTGAGCTACAGTGAAAAAATTACGAGTGCACAGGTGAGCGATTTGCACTCAAGTTCGCTCAAGGTCGCAAGGCGCCTGTTTTCGGAGTTGTCTAGTCCAGCCTAACATGATTAAACAGCAGGACAATATCGTCCATATAATCAAGATCAACTACTTTTTCTCCAGGTAACCCCTCAATGCCCACATTGAGATTCCCCAACGGAACGCTGCATCATGGAGTCCACGACGAAGTGGAACAAAATAGGAAAATTTCTCAGCCCTGACAGACGCCAAGGTCACCGTAGACCTTGACGCCGCTGTAGTTTTCGAGTATGGAGCATGGATATTTTGTGGTTCGAACAGCATACCTCGATCGACTGAACCGCACGCACTCTTAAAGTCGAAGAATACAGCTATTTTCGGTATGCGGTAAGCGTGGGGCTGTTCTAGCCCCTGCAGCAAAGTGAATATATAGAATCACGTCCTGGGCGGAAACCAGCCTGCTATTCCCTAATCCGAGATTCCCGTTCCACAGTGAGGCGCCGAACGAGAATGGGGGCCCGTAATTTTTTCACAACTGGCGTTAATCCAATACTCTTGTGGTTAGCATAGTCGACGCAACTTCCCTTATTGTATATTTTCACTATAATCGATTCACTCTAGTTAGCCGGGATACTCTCTATCTTCCAGGTATGTTCGAACAGGGAGGTCTGTGATTTGCATAGGACCGCACCTCCGTCTTTAAATAGTGCAGCTGGGAGGGAATCCAGGCAACAGCACGAAAATGATTGAGAGCTGCGATTGCCTTTCGGATCTGAGCTCCAGATGGAGTCTCTAAAAGAACCGGCCACTACTCAGCCTGCATCACCTAAGTACAAATGGATCCGAGAGCATTGGGCCAGGTAAACTGCTCGTAAAGGCGGTCCGCCGAAGAAGCAATACGGCGCTCCTTATTGTGAATCATAGCACCCGCACCGTCTCTGATTGTCTGGTAGACACTTCGGTGCCTGAGAGCAGTGGTGTGGATCATACAGAAGAGATTACGATAAATACCTTCTGCCCCTGCCTCCTCCATTTCTGGGGCTATACTGGTCCGCCATGCTACCTTGCAAACACACACACATTCGGCTTCAGTTCGAGCTTAATTATTCGCCTAATTACTTTGTACTCAGGGCCAGCAGAGAGTTTCCTTCTAGATTCTAACATGCGCACCTACCTCTCGGATGTCTAGTGACTGGTGTGGTGATGACTGATAGTGCCGCAAGCAGAGGCTTCTGCGTGTTGCATGGCGACCTAAATCTTATTCCGTTGAAGCTCAGTGTCATTAGGACAAGACAGCGAAAGTTCGCTACGCAGTACATTCTGGTAATTATGCCTGGTGGAAGACTGAGATCCGCATCCCGATAAAGTTGATGGAAAAACGACAGCATACCAAGACATGATGAGAGTTGACGCAGGTATTCCAAACGGAGCGATAATACAGGATGGAGCCACGCCAGCTGTAACCTATAACAGCGTGTTCAGTTTGGGTCCATCTCTCGCCAGCTGCATGTGGTCGCCAAGTGGCACATCGGCATTCACTGTGTCAAAAGCGGTGCTACCAAAAAGAAGCCGGTGCTCCGCACACATTTGCAACAGAAGCTCGTCACTATCCGTTTTTTCAGTGTTAAGGCTATACGTATCCCATAACCGAGTTTCTGAAGAACTCAGACGAGCCATTTGCGCACTGGTATCCTATGGATCAACATAATGAAAATAAATGTGTCACCTGTATGTCGTAACTGCGCTTCGCTGCTGCGCCACCACCAGCAGTCGCGTGCGCGCTGGGTACACCGAGATTATCCCCACCCCTGCGGCGATTCGTACCGGTGACCACATGGTTGCAAACCAGTCGCGTGGACCACCCGGCTACCGGCTGAACAACAACCACATCTAGACTGGAAACATTTCGAAGCAAAGTATTCAGCTTATTGTAGGTGTCCTTGGCAGAATCAAAACTGCAGTGGATGGGGGCATAAGCGGAAACCACAAAAAACAGCTTCTAATCCTAGCCCTTTTATCTACCTTAGTTGATGTCGTCAAACGGGCCGCGCACAAACGAAGGCTGACTGGAATACAATCAGTCAAGGTTGACTCAGTCTTGGGATTGAAAATCCTGACATTCAGATGAGGTTGAACGCCAAACTTGCTTATCTAATGCAAAACTGGATCACCAGTTCCACCATTCTGATCTTGCAAAGTAGAATGCGATGACCCGGATAATCAATTGCCTATGAAAAAATGCAGGTGCACGATATTCTCTACTCCAGCGCCAACAGCCTCGGTCCAGCATTCACGACTGTTTCTGACGGAGTCCGTGCTGTTTCGGAGCGATAATCTTGAGTATCTCCAGCTAGCCCGTAAGTGTTTCCCTGACTGTAGGCACCATGACCTCTGAGATCACCGGAATTATACTTGTACACAGTTGCCACTCCGGTAAATAGCGGTGAAGATCCAGTGTTTCCACGTTGGATAACACGTTCGGCCAGTGGTGCCTTCCAAGTTTGGCATATATCTGGTGGGAACACGGCGTGAGCAACGAGCGCTTTCAATCCCTTGTTTATGGGGCAGGAAGAAGAAGCGAACCACTCATTACCGTTATTACACGCACCGAGCTCTGAGTGCTGGATCAAGTGTTGCGCATGCTATCTCACCGTCTCCCTCGCCGTACGTTGTTTGCACTCTGGGGGTGCGAATGGAAGAAGAAGAGGAGAGCCAAGCGATGACTTGGTCAAGGGAAATGAAGGCCCTTACTTCGAACTTGGCCTAGGTTGGAGACTCTCGGCTTCCTGGTTGGGGACCGAAGAACCATGAACACGTTTGGCTGGATACTCTTGTTGACATGTTTAAGAGCCGACCTCAATGGAATTTGCGTTGTGAAGTTTTTGTCATCCTCTCTCCTGCTTAGCCTGCCCCTCCAATCACTATCTCATTTATAAGGAATAATATGACTTTTCGGCGCAATAGGTGGTTGTCATCTCTCCGGAACGGTGTCTATCCGTTACTGGTGACTCAGCGGGCGTGCCGCTGTGGCAACTGTTTTTCATTTTTTGTATGGCGGCACAATAGCGATGTTTTCCCTCTGCGGCTAACGTGTATACTAAACGAATTACTAATGACAATGGGGTAACCTACAACTCATTACGAAATTGTTGAAAGAATCTGATCAACGTTGCAGCTAAAGTCATAGCAGCTACTCTCATGGCGCCGGAGGAGCTATGCTCACAAACAACATCAGCCACTTCAGTACATCCGCGGTGGTAAAAGATAAGTGCCTATACTCTGATGACTGGGTGGTATGTGTAAGATGGATGTAAAGTGGAGATACACCTTTGAAAGCAAAGGTGTAATATTATCCGAGAACCGTGGACGTCTCTTGTCCGCTTGTGATAAATCACAGGTTGTGCGTAGCAGGAATTCCCCGCCGGTCTCTAAAACGATTGTTCATTTGCCTGCTAAAGGTTAAAGTAAACTCTTATCACAAACTCCTGTTGTTACTTTCTCCCCAAGGATGAGCTTGACACAGCTATTTCTTTACATCCATGTGTCCTGGCTAGCGGGGGCTGTGTGCGTGCTCCAAGCTAAAGGCTCAAGACCATGTACATCACAGAAATGATCCTTAAGAAGGGATTCACATTTTTCGAGCGTTGGATTTTGACTTACGTGTTTTCCACTACCCCGTAATACAGATAAACAAACTCTCTCATGGCACCTCGGGGGATCAGTCGGCTAGGTTGTACCAATAAGGTCAAACAGATTATCATAATTAGTTGATGGTGTTAGCAAGGCAACATTGAAGGATAGATCGTGAAACAAATGGCATTCGGAATTGGCAGTGACGCATTACTTAATAGGACCAACATTTAGGCAACTAACACTCGCGAGAGATATTTATGGGCTAATGAAATTCTCCACGAAACGCCCAGTACTATCTTCGAAGAGCTTGTGAATAACATTTAAGCGTAACTCTTAAACTGGAGAGCTGGGTCGCAAGCCCGATACTTTTAAATGTTCAAGTTAACCGGGGGGGACGAGGATATGCTGTTTGACTGAGTTTCAGGATATCCATCTGTCTCATCGAACGTGCAAACAAAGCAAGCAGTTAATCTAAGAGTTTTCATGCAGTATGGAAGTACAATGGCATAGCTGGTGCTCACTTCGGGTGTTTGTCACATACCTGCACAGGGAAGTTAGGGAATGTACCCTTTTCGTGAAATGCGATGAAGAAACCATCCTTTTTCTCCAACGCCTCAGGAGTGCTCACCGACTGCAATAGTGACGCCTCCTCTTCTGCCACTAAAAGCAATGGTGTAGCATTCGTTTTCCCACGATGCAGAATGAGGCGAATTCCGTTGGTGGGTCCAGCCGGGACAGGTGGCTTGGTTTTTATTCGTAACGTGAAGCAGCGATAGTAGGTTGGATGCTGAGTGATAATGAAGTTCTCCAGACATTCCTGATTTTTAACCTATTGTATATACAAAGGATACATTCACACTGCGTCTATGGGGAGATCAAAAGTGTGTTCGTTGAAACAAAGTTTGTGATCACATGTGGAACACGGGTGGATGAAGGCAAACAAGATGAACAAAGAAGCGTAATTAGAGAAAGAAAACATAGACAGCTTTGGTGAAAGAAATGGAATGACACTGGTGGAACCAAGCAAACTAGCCGACTAAAATACCAATAAAAGTATTAGTGCTGGAAGGTCAGCGAATGCAAATTGGCTGCAGTTTTATCCATTAAAACACGGGGGCTAATAATTGTGGATCCCAGATGCCCACAAAATGAATATCAATAAAATGACAAATGAATGACAAACAACATACACCATCGTGTTCCGGCGAGTAGTACGAACAAGAAAATGCCTCGTTGGGGACAGAAACAGGCGGTTCGTTGCCACAAATAAAATACTGACCATCAGTCGCCTACCTTCAGTACAGACCGCTTTCACTTAGCTGAGCGATTGTGGTATTTTGCTTGGAAGCCTACATTGAGTTCTCGGGGATCAGTAATTGTACGGATTATAAGTGCGAGCAACTTGTTTGTCCACTCGGTAAAGGCAACTAATGCCAAATTCTTGGGATGCCGCTGGACATCAATGAAATCCGGTACAATTATAATAGGTGTGTATGATGGTTAAATTCAAACGTACTTTCCTAGGAGAGTAAGCAAGAGCGCTAACACGTAAACGACTACTCTCAGCTTCAAGAGTAATCCAGCACTACCAAGAATGGTCCCGATGCAATATGGCACCCCACGATGGTCATTTAAAAGGTACAAATCAACAAAAAGATAGTGTGAGCAAGGAATATTTTAACGAACGGAGTTGCAGCAGTTTTGCCATTCCCGGGTTTGTTTGAGTAGGTTGTCTAAAATGCTAAATATAAGTACCATTTTTTCTACACTTAGAAGTTGTTTGCAGAATGCTGATATGGACGTTGCATTTGCTTCTCTGATTTAACACACGCCCGACATATACACACGGCGCCACGGTTGGATTTATCATGTCGCACAATTACGCGGTCCCTCACATCCTTTCCTAGCTAGTTCACTTCGTTCGGTGTCGTATTTTTAGCCAATACACGGGATCAGCGTACAACACTATATGCTTTCCTCTCGTCACTTCTCTGCCTTCTCTTCAATCACTAAGAATGGTAATCGCTATTCCGAATACTTCAAGTCTGTTAGCGTTAGCCGGCCGCTCTCGTTACCTTGGTGACCAGGACCAAGAACATTCTTTTCACTACATTGGTGACCCCGATCTGAATAATTTTGCCAGTACATTGGAGACTCCAACTGGAAGTATCTTCGCCTTTTTAATGAGTCCGTGCAAATTTATCGTCATCTGTTGTTGACACCTCTTTCAACCGCTTTCACTGGGTAATTATTGTTATCTGAACCATCGGCTCAGTCTCTAAGTATGGTGGGGACGAGTAGACTGTTCATTCAGTTACGCTGGTAGTCCCTACTTTTATGAAGGTAGACACTGTCTTATAGTTTGGATCTTATGGGCAGAATTCGCAAATAAATGTGTCATGTGCAATTCAGGTAAGTTCAGCAACTTACTATCTCTTCTGACCACACATCTCCCGGTCCAGCTTGGCGATCTGAATGTGATGCCTGATCCAACTAATCGTTATAACGCTCTGAATATGCCGTAATAAAACGATGCACAATTTCGGACAGATCTCGTCGGCATCAACTTTTTCCCTGTTTGTAGTTCGGAAGCCAGAAACTGTCCACACTTCTATTGGAGATTCGCCGTCTCGTAAGAGGTTTGAGCATGGAATATTTGCTTCAAGAACTTTGGATGCAACGTTTTCCTGAGAAAATGCAAGCTATCTTATGTCTCGCTAAGTCTAAACCGTAGTCGGAAATCACCGAAATCGAAGACAGCGTACTGGAATGTTACACAGAACCACTTTGTGGTTCGTCTAGCATCATCGAGGCAACTGACATTCCCCGCCAGGCATAGACCGTCGCTCCAGTAAACGACAACACAAGCAACCTGCCTTCAACGCAGGCCCTTGTGGACGAAATAACCTCACACAAACGAGAAGTCCAACATTTGAACCTAAGGCATCAACGGCGTAGGGATACACGCGTGACAAAAAAGATAGAGAAGGGATAATGGAGTCGTCAGTTCGGGCGCTTACAGATGTAACTGCACTGTCGTATAAAGGGAGTTTGAAATGAGAATGTACGCACATAAACCAACAGGGGAGTGGTTATTGTTCACATCATAGGCGAGAAAAATAAAAAAGGTAGCAAGGACAACGCTTACTCGTGTGCAACAATCTTGGGTCGACAGGATACAGTAATCCAGTTTCTGTAGTAGTAGCGTTTATCAAATTTCATGCAAGGAGTTTGGAATGACTCATTCTCGAGTAGGGTTATGGCACTATCCCCTGTCTGTTGTGCATTAGTGCCAGCATCTGGTGGTCATGAGCTATAGCACGTAGTGTAAATGTGACAGGGTATCGTCAAAGCGTTTTTTTGAAAAGGGATAGGGTGGGTGCATTAATTACATGTTCCGGGAGGGCGTTCCAAGTCTGTGACACTCGAAGGGAGAAATAGTTTTGCCGACATTCCAGGCGGCTGTACTGCGTGACTAACTTAAACTGGTGACCTCTTACCGAGGTCTTTTGACTGAGTATTGGAAGGGAATGGCATGGGTGGTTGGGGTTTCTCAGGATCTGGTTCACCATTATGAGATCGCCCCTTAGACGCCGATAACGTCCACTGTATATTTTGAGGGTCTTCAGCCTGAGTGGGCAGGAGAGGCTGGTCAAACCTCTGACGCTCTTCGTTGCCCTACGTTGTGCGGTATCGAGCGTGGTGAGATGGTGCTTGAGCCAGGGTTGCCACGCTTGGAAAGCGTATTCCGCGTGCGGCCTCACGTACGCACTAAGCACTTTTAGAAAGATCGAAGGGTCAAACTTCCCGAAGGCTCTGCGAAGAAGGCCGAGGTACTGGTTCGCTTTCTTAGCTGTCTTTTCAGTCTGCCTCAAACAACTGAGGTCGTCTTGAACTATCACGCCGAGATCGCACTCGTGAGAAGCCCGCTGTAGAATTTGTGGTCCTAGGCGGTACTTGTGCATACTCTTGTGCCGTATACTGAGAACTTTGCACTTGGTGACGTTGAAATGCAACATGTTCTCGATGGACCGTGTGTACGCTTTGTCCAGTTCCTCCTGTAAGACTGTGTGATCCTCCACTGCAGCTATAGTGCGCCATACCTTTAGGTCATCAGCAAATAGCAAACAGTTAGAAGAGAGCACACTCGTGAGATCATTTATGAAAACCAGGAACAGGCGGGGTCCAAGTACCGAGACCTGAGGTACGCCGCACTGAACTTCGATGGATTCTGATAGGTTGCTTCTAACCCTCACATTCAGGTGACGTTGCAAGAGAAAGTCTGCTATCCAGCCCAGAACAGGATCGCCGATTCCATATTTCTGGAGTTTGTGGAGGAGAATGCGATGGTCTATACGGTCGAATGCCTTTGAGAAATCCAAGTAGGCGGCGTCGACTCCTACACCAGCGTCCACAGATTCCATCCAGTTTGCACGAGCAACCGAGAGATTAGTGGTACAGGAGCAATTGTGGCGAAATCCGTGCTGCTCTGGAACGAGAATTTTGTTGTTCTCCAGGTACCTCATCAAAGCCTCAGCTACAATGGACTCCATAACCTTGGAGATCACAGGAAGTAGTGTTATCGGGCGATAATTTGTTGGTTCAGTACGGCTACCACTTTTGCAGATAGGCGTGATGATTCCGTGCTTCCACATCGTGGGGACGTGCATCTCGTTCAGGCATCGTTGAAAGAAAATTGCTAGTGGTCCTGACAAACTCATGGCAGCAACTTTCAACGCCTTCGGTCGAATGCCGTCCGCACCCGGGGAGCTGAACTCGCGCAGAGACATCAGCCTCTTCAGTACAGCTGCGCAGGTCAACGATATGTGATTAAGCCCTGATGGCGGCGTTATCTGCTTAGGCAGGATGTATGATGATTGCGCGCTTTGGAAGGTACGGCCAAATTGTTGTCCAAGGACGTTGGCTGCCTCTTGTGCGGTTTGGGCTAAACCGCATGCTGTGTGCAGAGCAGGAATACCGTGCTTAACACTGCGCAAATTGTTTACGTGTCTGTGTAGCAGTTTGGGATTGGAGCAACACTTTTCCACTATACCTTGTTGGTTCTTAAGTTTATTCTCCCGGACGAGTTTGACACAGTGGTTCCTTTGTATTGTGTAGACATCCCAGGGGTCGTCGTTCGGGGAGGCTATGTAGGTATGCCATGCCAAGTCCCTTAATTCCATGCATTGACGTATACTGCTCCTTACGAAAGACTTCATCCTTTTAGCCCGGCAGGGTTTGGTTTCAGATGTCCTTGCCACGAGCTTGGTAAATATGTTGACGAATTCTCGGCCATTCTTTCAGTAGCAATTAACCTAACACACCATTTACGAACTCGTGGTCCACAAATCACCGCTCAAATACAACATCTTGCTAATGCTAAATTGCAAGTGGCCATAGCGGAATTCGAGCAGATTCTGGAACTTTGTACCATTGGCCTTACCGAAGATCAGCGGGGTCCGCCGATTCACATTGTCTCAAAGAAGACTGGCCACTGGCGACCTTGTGGTAATTACCGGGCAATGAAAAAGTGCACCTACCCTATTCCGCATATTCAGGATGTTACTAGCTGTTTAAGGGGTAAGTCCGTGTTTAATAAAAGCGACTTAACACGAACCTATCACCAGACGTTCATAGAAGGATGTGATATCCCTAAGATCGCCGTCATCACACTTTTCGTCTATTCGAATTTCTGCAGATGCATTTTGGAAAATGCCACACACACCTCCCAAAGCTTTGCCCATGACGGTACATTCAACTTAGATTTTTTCTACATATTCTTATTTGGATGACATTTTGGTACCAAGCGACTCCAGATCAGATCATCTG